CATATATGAGCTCAGCCTCTGCCAAGTGTAGTGAGCTGCTGGGGAGCAGGGTAGGAAGCACTCTGGGATGGCAGGAAAGAAAGCAGTGATCTTCAGACTCTGCCCCACCTCACCCCAAGGTCTTCAGTCTGCGCATCTGTCAGTGTTCAAGCCGTGCTCAGCCTTCTTTGTGCCTGTGCCCTGGGGCTCTGTTTCCTACTTATTCAGATGTTTGTTTCATTAATTTGAGCTCCGTTATTAGGTGCTGTTCCAGACCAACACAGATCCAGTGTCTATGGTCCAACTCATTGGATACCCTTAAAGTGAAGACAGTCGCAGCCAGGTTAAGGACTGCAGAGTGGGCATTTACTAGGATTTCAAAAACAGAGCATGGTCCTGGGTTACAGAAGACCAACTGATTTCCACAAATTGTGTCAGAAGGGGGGACTTAAAAAAAAGTGGTCAGGACAAAAGTGACTTCATTCAAACCAGGTTCACTTGGTTTATCACAATCCAGCCACGGCACTGACTGTAAGGATTATGTTCTTAATTACGTCACCAGCCTGCTATGGCATCCCAGCCTAAATAGCAGGGGTGCCCTCTCTGTGCTCTTTCTTTCCGCACTCTCTCCTTCCGTATTCCCTCCCCTCCGTGAGGTCTCTCTCTCTCTCTCTCTCTCTCTCTCTCTCTCTCTCTCTCTCTCTCTCTCTCTCTCTCCTAATAAAGCTCTAGAAAGGTAACCATGGCTTGTGATTCTTCCGCCATCACAACATCTAGTGCTCTCTTGTCGGCATGGCCGCCGCAGGTGGTGACCAGCCATGAGCACCACCACTTAACCAACACTGACACCACAGGGTCCATTTGTAAGGATTCTTATTGTCCTCTAATGGTTTTACTTCTACATTTTGTTTTGTTTTTGAAACAGGGTTTCTCTATGAAGCCTTGGCTTTCCTAGAACTCACTATGTAGACAAAGTTGGCCTTGAACTCATAGAGATCCTCTTGCCTTCACCTCCTGACTACTGTTATTAAAGGCGTGTGCCACCATGCCCAGCTCTTTGCCTCTACATTTTTCTGTGAGAGTATTAGGGAAAAACAGACCATGCAGGTCAGGGTGTATTAAGTCAAGCTAGATCCAGGCAGGTAAATGCACAGGACTGGACAGGCTGTCATTGATACTGGGGGTTCTGAGTCACCACCTCCCTGGATTTAGAGGGAGGGTCCCATGGGAGCAGATGGGAAAATGTAGAGGCCCCTGAATTAAATTAGACACTAAGAATGACAAAGCATCTCCTAGACCCTGAGTCATGACTACATCTCTGCTGCAGTATGATGCTGGAGCAGCCCAGGGCTACAGCCATACTCCGCAGGCATATGGAAGTTACCCTCCAGGGCCTCCTTGGTGTCTTGTCATCCAGAATTCACAGGATTGAAAGCTGTCTCCTCCTCAGTCACAGCAAGCCCAACCTCGGTGACTGGAAACTTGAAAGTGTTCTCTTGTTTCTGCCCCTGCCAGAGAAACCCAGGCTTAAGCCTTGCCTCTCAGGCACCAAGCCAGAGGCTGCATGGTTCTTGGGAACGTGCAAAGCTCAACATAGACTAAAGGAGTTGAGTCCTTCATCTTGTTGGGACCTCCTCCACCAACTCAAACACCTCCAGCAATGATACCTGGGAAGGCTCCAATTCCCTGGCCCCCGTAACACTGTAACAAAGTTATCAGGTCAAGGAAGAAGCTGAAGCAAGACTGGCCCTCTCCTGCCTGCCCCTGCCCCCGCCCCCACCCCTGCCCCTGTCCTGTGCTTCTCCTGTCATCTCCTGCCACCTACCCCCTCCTGTCTTTATTTTGATGTGTCTTCCCCAGCTCTCCCTCCTCTGCCTTCAGTGCCCTTTTCTGCCCTCTTCTCTCACCCTCCCTGATCTAATGTCTCACCCTCCCTTCACCTGTCAGACTATTGTAACACGAATCTTAAATGGCCTTATTAGTAAAGTACTCGGGAGCCAGGTATTGGGGTGAATTCTGAAAGATCAGAGAAACAGAACAAGCCACAGCCAACCTCACCTCGACAACTTCTCATCAGATCCTGTTTCCTCAAACTGGAAGCCTCTGAGTCCTCATCTGAATGAATCACAGAAATTCACTGCTGCTAAAAGCTAAAAGCTTAAAGGGGCTCTAGTTCCTGGTCCTCACGCCTTTATATACCTTTCTGTTTCCTGCCATCACTTCCTGGGATTAAAGGCATATGTCACCATGCCTGGCTGTTTCCAGTGTGGCTTTGAACTCACTGAGATCCAGATGGATCTCTGCCTCTGGAATGCTAGGATTAAAGGTGTGCTACCACTGCCTATCCTCTATGTTTAATACAGTGGCTGTTCTTTTCTCTGACCCCCAGATAAGTTTATTGGGGTGCACAATATATCAACCACATTTTATTAATAAGACTTTAGCAATTCATGTTATATCGGGCGCCCAACTTGTCAGGTACGAATTCAAGAAAAAGCCACTTGCCTTTGTCCTTGCAGTCCCCAGCTCAGGACCGAGCTACACTCAGCCAGTTGTGGTGGCGCACGCTGGTAGGATTTACTGAAGGACATGGAGGCAGGAGGATCCTGAGTTTGAGGCCAGCCTGGGAGGCTTGCTGAGGAAAAGCTGCAGCCGAGGCCTGGCAGGGCCACAAACGGTGGCGGTGGGACCGTGGCGGCGGCAGATCTGCACTGCCAATTGTTTCTAATTGTGTTGGTGGCTACTGGAGAAGAAAGGTTTACCGCTGCTTGTTCAGGGAACAATCGCCAGGACCATCATGTTACAAGAAAACATCAGCAAAGGTCAGTTTGGAAAAGTTTGGTAAATGGTGGGGAGAAATTGCTGTGAAGATATTCTCTTCAAGGGAAGTACAATTGTGGTTCCGAGAGACAGACTTTATCAGACTGTGATTGCTCCAAACCACAGAGGAGGCACACACACACACACACACACACACACACACACACACACACACACAAAGGCTACAGGGAACCCTGACCACACTGAACAGCAACTTTGAAATCTCCAAAAGGATGCTGGGACCCCACAATGATGATTCCACATGGACTATGGTAAAGCCATTAAGCTGATTAACACCACCGAAAGATCGCCTTTGGACCACAAACTGTTCAGGACAATTTCAAGATGGCTAGCTGAGATGATCCAGATTCACAGACAACTCGAGCAAGGACTTGAGACAAGCCCTGCATTTTCCCATTATGCTGAGACTGAACAACACATGATACTGCTACCTCTCCCAGGACTTGACAATTAACCCAAGAATTTTCTTTTCAGGATCCCCTAAAGATGTCTTTGCCCCCAGAAAGCTGGAAGTAACTTTTAGAAAACAACACCCACATTCCCAAGAGGTAGGGTGGTGGTTTTTGGTTGTTTAATGAGTTATGGATATTGTCATTGTTTGCGAGGTTGGTTACAAGTTATTAATTGTTAATGGTCAGGAAAAAATCTAAATAAAGGAGATTAGATTCAAGGTTCTTGTGTAAAAAAAAAAAAAAGAAGAAGAAAAAAGAGAATATAGCTGAGCGGTGGTGGCGCAGGCCTTTAATCCCAGCACTCAGGAAGCAGAGCCAGGCAGATCTCTGTGAGTTCGAAGCCAGCCTGGTCTACAGAGCAAGATCCAGGACAGGCACCAAAACTACACAGAGAAACCCTGACTCAAAAAACCAAAAAAAAAAAAAAATAGATAAGATGTAGATTATTGAATCTACTCTTTAAAAAAAGATAGAAATAATAGAATAAAAAAGTAGATTATTGAATCTACTCTGAAAAGAAAAAAGGAAAGATGTAGAAATAATAAGATAAAAGGTAGTTTTTTTTTAAAGGGAAGATATAGAAATGATAAGATACTACTCAGAAAAGGGAAAAGAGAGAACATGGGTATGATAAGATAAAAGGCAGGTTGTGGAATCTATTTCTAAAAAGGGACTGCTTGTTTTAAATAGGATAAGAAATGGATTTTTTATCTGAATCTGTCAAATGTGAATGGACTGGACATTGCTAATGTATATAATGGAGATTTTTGTCTGAGTCTGTCAAATGTGAATGGACTAAACATTGTTAATGTAATTCTTGATTGTATCTATTGTATATACTTATTGTATATACTTTTTCTTATATTTGTTATAACTTTTTTATCTTAAACAAAAAAGGGGAGCCGGGCGGTGGTGGCGCACGCCTTTAATCCCAGCACTCGGGAGGCAGAGCCAGGCGGATCTCTGTGAGTTCGAGGCCAGCCTGGGCTACCAAGTGAGTTCCAGGAAAGGCGCAAAGCTACACAGAGAAACCCTGTCTCGAAAAACAAAAAAACAAAAACAAAAACAAAAAAAACAAAAAAAAAAAACAAAAAAGGGGAAATGTGCACCCCATATAAATGTTCATATATTGTGCACCCCAATAAACTTATCTGGGAGTCAGAGAACAGAATAGCCACTATATTAAACACAGAGGTTAGGCAGTGGTAGTACACGCCTTTAATCCTAGCATTCCAGAGGCAGAGATCCATCTGGATCTCTGTGAGTTCAAAGCCACACTGGAAACAGCCAGGCATGGTGACACATGCCTTTAATCCCAGGAAGTGATGACAGGAAGCAGAAAGGTATATAAAGGTGTGAAGACCAGAAACTAGAGTTTTTTTAAAGCTTTTAGCAGCAGTCAACTGCTGAGATCCATTCAGATGAGGACACAGAGGCTTCCAGTCTGAGGAAACAAGATCAGCTGAGGAATTGGCGAGGTGAGGTTGGCTGTGGCTGGTTCTGTTTCTCTGATCTTTCAGAATTCACCCCAATACCTGGCTCCGGATTTGGTTTTTTTTTTTTTTTTTTTTTTGGTTTTTTTTTTTTTTTTTTGGTTTTTTTTTTTTTTTTAATAAGACCTAACAATTCATGCTACAGCCTATAGCCTTCTCTCCTCTCTTGACACCAGGACTTGTCTGGGGTGGGTGGCCTAGGGTTGGCCAAGGTTTCTGCTCCTTCTGAGATCCCTGAGCTGGAGGGTTTCTGGACACCAGGCAGCAGAGGCCATGGGACAAGAATGGCCTCAAAGGAGGAACCTACATTCGGCTAGCTCACCTCTCTTCAGGACCCTCTGTCCCCGAGGGCAGGTGGTGTGCATGTAGAACAGTGGTCCCCCTCCTGGGTCTCACAGAAGTAGCCTGGACTGCAGCAGCACACAGTGTCCTCCCGGCTGGAGCACTCCCGCCAGGTCACTAGGCCCATGTCTGCCATCAGAGACAGGGTGAGAGCACTCATCCTCCAGCTGTCCCAGTGCACCAGGGCCTGCCTTCTGCACCGGCTCATCTGCCAGGGGCTCCCACCACATGCTCCTCTACTAGAGGCTCCAGGCAGACACCTGTGATACCAACTTTGTCCAGCAGGGGAAGCCAGGCACGGCACAACTGTTTGAGCTCTGGCCTGTGTCTAGGACTGAATGGGTGGGTTACAGTATGGTTGGAGGCCCAGGGCCTGGGTTTTAACTAAGTCTAAATCCTCCTTGCCTCTGTTTTTTCCTACTCCAGGAAGCTGGACTCCCCAACTCCACCCTGGAAATGTGGAGTTGGTAGGCTCTGGCATCCAGCAGAATGACGTGGTGGCTCTTGGAATCTCAGTATCCTCATCAACGGGAATGAGCAATCTTCTGTCTCTTTCTAGACCTGAGCCAACTCTTCATGGGAATTGTGTGAATAGGTACAGGGTCACTGTAGGAGTGAGGCTGATTCCATGAGGGCACTGTGTGTGGGTATAGAGGTTCACCTTCTGTAAGGGTGAGCCATCTTCAATGTACACTGATAGGCACAGGGTCACCTCTGAGGGACTGAGGATAACTCTGCATGCAGTGTATGGGTCCAATGCCATACTCTGTAGGAGTGAGGCCAACTCCATTTGCATGCACACTGTGATAGGCACAGGGTCATCCTTACAAGGGCAAAGCCAAACACATACAGGCACAGGGGCACTCAGGATGGTGTCTGGACAGTGTGGGTCTGTGGTAGGAACAGAAGCACTAGCCACCTCACTGGTTCAAACGTCCCAGGATCTTTGTCGCCCTCCCTGTCTACCCAGGCCCAGGCAGCCATCAGTGCACAGGTGAGCCTTTCCTGGGTTTGTTCACACAAAGGAGAAAAAGTAATGACCATATTAGCCCCCAGTGATGCTTGACCCCTTCACAGGAGAGAAACCGGAGTGTGGGAGAGCCTCTCATACCCGCATAAACCAGAGAGAAAAGGAAAACAAGAAGCAGATAAGGAGGTGAGGTCGGCGCAGGAGATGGAATGGGGGTGGACACCCTGAGAACCTGCCCACAATGGCAAGAATCTCAGTCCTGCAATCCAGCGAGTTTCCCTCAGGTTCAGGGCCCTCTTCTAGAATCAATGCGAGCAAAAGTGTCTCTGCACCGCCCACCTCCACAGGAGCTCCCACCTGGATCACAGACTCCGCAGGACAGACACTTGCTCAGGCTGTTTGCATGGACAGTGTGTGTCTGTGAGGGACAGGGGGCACACACTGTGCCTGTCCACTCACTGCAGGCTTGCTTCACATGGTAACCTGCAGCCAGGACCCACAGTTCCTCAGTGGTGGAAGTAACCTGCAGAAGCCTACCCTGTACCCTCACCTGGAACTCCAGCAGGTGTGGCACCAACCGAAACAAAGCCCCACAGGACCCTTTGGCCCATCTGCCTTCTATGTGCCCTCTATGGGCAATTCAGAAGTTCACAATGTGGAACCTCCTAATTCACCCAGGACCAGGCCTGCTTATGTCTCAATCTCAGCCTCCCGACATGCTGGGCCTGCCCTATGCCCCAGGCCCACCCCACACAGTGCAGCAGCAAAGGTCCCAGAGGCTGAGGAGTACAGACTGCCAGGGGCTGTCCCTGGATTGAACACTGTACAGCCTGGATCAGCTGGGCCACTAGACTGAGGACCCAGAGGCCAAGAGACTCAGGACAGGGGCTTCCCGGGCACAGCACTGGCTCCCGGAGCTGCTCCTACCTGGGTTGCACATGGGACAGCACTCGTCCCCCACAGAATACTCCTCTTCTCTGCATAAGGGTTGGACAGAGAGACAGCACAGGACGTTCAAAAGGAAGACACACCACACCTGGGGGAGGGGATGAGTGTTGGAGGGGCGTTCTTCCCTCTGTCCCTGTGACTGCCTCCCCCAGGATGGCCCAGGGTCTCAGTTCATGCTCTGCTCTGTGCAGTGGGGTAGCAGCAGCCTCTCAGCTGGCAGTGTCCCTGTGGGACAGGCTCAGAGCCCACACCTGCTTAACTTCCCTTCTGCCTTCATTCTGGGCCTGACGGTGTAAGACCTGAGGAGGCAGCAGGGTCAGCTAGGGCTGGACTCAGAGACTCCAGCAGAGGGTGGGAACAGGCTCTTCAGGGTCCTAGGGGAGAGAGAGAGCAGCTGAGCCTGACTGCTGGTCAGAGTTGCCTCCTTGAGCAAACAGGAGAGACACCCTGGCTCCTGCTATTCTGCCCTGATGTCTGCCTCCACTGTACTTGTCCTCAGGGGCAGAGCTGCATAGGGTCGGCCTCTTGCTACAGGGCCTGCCCAGGGACTCTTCTAGGACATGGCCTGCCAAGGGCCACCACGTCCAGGGCACCACCACCTGCTCTTGAATGAGAGCCACAGCAGGTGTCTGTGAGTGGAGCCCCCTAGGGCCTGCCTGCCTGTAACCTCCCAACATGAGGTTGTCCTCAATCATCTCCAGAGATCTGGACACCCAGCAACAAAGAGCCCAGTGAGCTAGTGGCCCAGACAGAGCCAAGATAGCCGGTCTGGGGACAGGAAATGGCTGGGATGATCTGGCTGTGGCTGGAGTTGGGCTTGGGAGGACAGAGCTTGGAGACAGGAAAAGGCTCTGGGACTCACCAGGCTGAAGGTGTTGGCTGTGGGGGCCTGGCTCCAGGGTGAAGACCCCCATCCTGGCAGAGGTTCCATGTTCCTGATCAAGACACTGCAGGCCAGGAGCCCCATGGGCTCTGGGCCTCACACACACCCTCCTCGCCCATCAGCAAAAAGTGAAAACAAAAGAGAAATGCAGCACAGAGCCCTCAGGAAGGAACTTGGATGATGAAGGGGCCTCGGAGTTGGCACAGGACACACACCAAATTCTCAGCACAAAGGATATTTATTACCCTGGAGGGATAAGCCAGGGTTGGAAGGAGGTGGTTCCTCTGTATCAGACAGACAGCAGCAAGCATGACTGCAGGAGCGTGTTTTAATGAGAAAAGTGGGAGGTCTGTGTTAGGGTGAGTTGGTAAGTCCTGATTGGACAGGTAAGTCAGTGTAACCAAATAATGAATTCTGATTGCTAGACATTGGTGTTTTGATAGTTGGACCTTGAAGTTTTAGTCAGGCATAAAGGAAGTGGTTAAATAAGGAAATAGACCTTGGTGACTAGCTTTAGGAATGTATCTAATGGTTTCAAAAGGGAGAGGGGAGGGCGAAGGGCAAGGCCTGTCAGCACCCTGTTTGCTCTGCTTGGGCCTGTTGGAGCCCTTCAGATATCTCCCAAGTGAGTGCCTTCTGTCCACAGTTGCCCAGGGGGAACACCAGAAAAGAACAATTTTAGGGTCAGGTGGTGTCCAGCCCAGAAGCCAGAATTCTGAGCTCTTCCAGAGGTAGATTGGCCAGACCAATCAGACTAGGAAAGGTGCTGGGAGGAGCTCCTAGTAGGCCAGCCCCACAAGATCAGAGCCTTAGCCACAGAGGCAGACCAGGGACACCCACAAATTCTCCTCTGTACTGTCCCAGCCCCTATGTACACCCTTGGAAGTATGTCTGTCTTCCAGGTCACTGCAAACATAAAACCGGCCTTGGTGTTCATCTTGAGTTTGCTGATAGACAGACCAACCTAGGAACCTCAGCCTCGGGGAACTGGGCACTTGATCCATTGACCCTCCTCCCAACGCACCCTTCTCACAGGACCCTCCCACAGAAGCTTTCCATCTCTTCCCAGTTACTATGGCTGGGATGTCCCCAGCTCCACTTCCATGTTACTGTGCTAAAGTCTTGGCCCTCAGCAGGTTGCAATCTTGAAAAGATGGGATCATGAGGGCTCTGATTTAGTATTATTAGTCCATAAATGGAGCTATTATTTAATGGCCTCGTTGGGAGGTAGTGCAAAGTAAGAAGTGGACTTGATTAGAGGAAATAGTCCCCTGGTGGAACAGAGCCGCACACCCAGTGGAGAGAAACAGAACCAGAGATACAGCAACAGGTATGGGAGTACCACCAGGGTGAACAAAGGAGCATGCTGTTGCAGAGTATGGCCTGTCCTGGGCCACCTCACCCATCACAGCCCAGTAGGCCAGTGCCACCACTCAGCCTGCAGGCCTGGCCCACAGTATGGGGCCACGGCTGCTCGCTCTAACCGTAGAGGCTACAGGTCCTGTCCCCAGACACAACGATCATCCTGACGATAAGCAACAAGTAGATATCCAAGATGAAGAATGGTTCACTTCCTGGATGAAGACTTCCATGATCCATGCTGCCACCAGAAGCCATGTTGGTGTATGTGATCTGTGCTGCTGTCCACTGCCATGGGCAGGGAAGCTTCTTCTGTAGTGGTATCAACGACTACAGACTCATAACTGAGAATGAGAGATGTTGAAGGCTTCTGTGACAGCCTCTGCCCAACGCCCCCCCAAAAGAAACTGTTCAGATATGAAGTTACTGAAGAGAGCCCTTTAAAATCTGTGATAAAAGTGCTGAAGTGTAGCTCTTGACAGCTGATGGCTTCTGATAGGGTGAACAAGGTGGGGAAGGACTCAGTTTTCCTTAAGGGGCAGGCCACTACGAGTTTGACCATGCTCCAGTGAGTACATGGGCAACACAGATTGGACTTTTCATTTCTTTGGGGGCGGGGTGATGGGGAGCAGAGTAGGAGAGTGCACCTGAGAGGGATGGGGAGTGATTGTGATCTGGGTGCATTGTATGAAATTACCAAATAATTAATAAAAATATTATATTGGGGGAAAAAGGAAAAATGGATATTCTAGAGAACACACACACACAAAGAATATACCTCCAGTCCCTCCTTCACTCTCTTCCACTGCCATGAAGTGGGCAGTTTTCTGTTTCTGAAACTATAAGACAAAGAAAATCTTTCCGCTGAGTTTTTCTCAGATGTTTTCTCACACTTGCGCAAAGCTGTGTAACACTGGCTCTTGTGGTTTACTTTACTGTAAACCAAAAGTTCTCTTAAAAAAAAAAAAAGAGGCTAAAAAGATGGCTTAGTGGTGCAGAGCACTGGTTGCTCTTCCAGAAGACCCATGGTTCCCAGAATCCACATGGTAGCTCACAACCCTCTCAAACTCCAGGGGATGCAACGCCCTCTTCTAGCCTCCATGGGTACCAGGCATATACGTGATACACAGGCATACATGTAGACAAACATTCTTACATATAAAACAATAAAATGAAATTTTAAAAGTATATTTTAGAGTAAAAGATGCATACATTTAAGGGCTGAGGAGATGGTACAGTGTGAAAACTCATAAGTGTGAAAACTGGAATTTAGATCCTTGGAAATCATGTAAAATCCAAGCAGGTGTGTCCACCTGTAATCCAAAAACTCAGGAGGCAGAGACAGGGCCATTAAAGTGATCTGGCTACACTGGTGAGCCAGAATTGGTGAGTTATAGGTTTAGTAAGTGACCCATGACTCTATAAACAAAGTGGCAATTGAAGACACCCAAAGTCAACTTCAGACCTCCACAGGCATACACACATACACACACACACACACACACACACACACACACACACACACACACGTTCACATGCTCACACATGGGCACACACATGCAAGTACAGCACACACATGCATGCACATGCCAAAAAAAGACCCTGAAATTCAGTCAACTGCTAGGAGCGGGTGGTATCAAAGACCACACTCTGTCAAGGAACAAGGAAGATTGCACAGTGGCTCCACAGCACCTGCATGTTTTTACGTCCAGGATCCCTCCTACCATCGCCTCCTTTGTGTCTTTTCTCTGCACATTTTGCCCCAAATCTTGTTAACCTGATGACAAGCAGAGCAGTTCTCCAAGAATTTGGAAGTGACAGAGCATTCCAAGGGAATGTGTATGTACAACAGTAAACAGTGTCCATATTCAAGGAGACTGAGGCTAGGGAAGTTTTTAAAAGATAAAGTGAGCAAGGTTACCCCGCCACCCCCTGTGTCATGGAGCAATAATCTTTGCCCACAGGATTACTAACAAGAATGACAGCAGCCTGAGCACACAGGGGCTGGGTGGATTTCCCACGGCAGTGTTTTCCATAAAAGGCTGTTGTATTGGTCAAGTGCTTACAGTAGTTGCTCTGGGGTAATGCTAAGAGGGGAGATTCGCTCCTTCTTAACCTTCTACTTGACACTGGTTCCTCTATTTTGATTCTGACAACTTCCACACTTGAGAAACTTTCTATTGGAACCCAGAACCGAGGACTCACACAGATGCAAGATAGCTAAGTTCCTCCTCCAACCTGGAGGCCAGGTGGCAGGCTGAAAGCCTCTCTCTGTCCCCATGCCTCCCAATCCCCACCTCAGACTGCTCCTAGGTCCCATGACTGTGTCTGGCTTCCCAGCTTATGAGGTAAAGGCCTGTGCTCAGCGTTTAGAGCTATCCCAGGCCCTCCTGTACTGCCCTAGCCCCCAAGGAGAGGAGTTCAGGAAAGCCAGACCCACCGAGAAGGCCCCTGCCATGGCTCTCATTAGGGAACAGTGGTGGTGGCACCATGATGACCAGGGATTTTGGCATCCCTGAGCAGGACAAGGGACTGAACGCCTGCAGCTCCTCCCTGATGGTAAAGATGTTTGTACAGGAGAGATGAAGCTGGGGTGGTGCTGGGTAGGGTCGGGCACAGTGGTGTCAGTAGGGCCAGAAAGGGCAACTTTCCCATCTGCCCAGGCAGTCTCTCCAAGTGCTGAATCTTCTTCCAGGGGTACTCTGTCCCCCACCCCTTCCCTTAATGAAGACCCTTGCCTTTCTCCCTTGCCGCTCAGCTGTTTCCTCTTCTACTGTCCTTGCGGACACCCTCTTGGCAGAAGGTCCCTGACTGTGACTGCCCAACTTGGAGCCCCCTGAGCCTCTGAAGCTCCCAGAAGTGTCCATGGAGAAGATTATCTGTGTAAAGGCCGGCCCTGATGATACCCAGCTCCCTGCAGTATTCTAGCACCTCAGGGACACTACAACAGCCTCCTCAGGTTCTATGCCCTGCTCCTGAGACTCCCAGCCAACCCAGAACAGGCCAAGCCCACCCCAGCCCTCTGTCCTTCCTAAGTCCTGAGGAGCCTTGGCCTGCTCATCTGCAAGTCAGGTCCGTGGGTGCTGCCTCACGGAATCAGGGCTGCACCAGAATGGACATGAATGTGGTGTTAGGACATTCTTGTTTTGGTTGTGATTTTTTTTTCATTTGCCTTTTCTCTGCCTTTTCCCCTATTTTAAAAGAAATGTTATTACATTTATGGTGTTTGTGTTTGTGTGTGGGGGGGGGTGTGGTGTGTATACGTGAGCATGTGTCACAGCACACATGTAGTGATCACAGGACAACTTGCAGGAGTTGGTTCTTGCCTTACACCATGTGGGTCCCAGGGATTAAACTCAGGACACCAGCCTCACCCCCTTCCCCTGTGTCTGTGATAGGATGAAGTTGGGTGATACCTCAGGCTGGAAACATCTTGCTTGTCACCCACTTCCACCCTTCTTAATTTTATGATGCCCGGGGAAGGTTGACAAAGATTCTGCTCCTTCGCTAAGCTGGCCATCCACTGCAGGAAGATTGTCCTTCTTCCGGTTCCCACTGCACTGCCCGGGCTCTCACTGCGTCAAGGGCTCTGATCCCTGACTGTTACTATTTATGTCATATTGTCCCAGGTTGGTCCAATGGGAACCCCATGTATACATGTTTACTGGAAGCCCTACTTCATGTGCACAGACATCGGACAGGGTACCCAGGTCCCAACAATCCACGTATTTATCCTATGCAGGTAAGAGGATACCTCTGTCCTCACAGATGGAGGTGAGACTGCTTGTAGGGGAATTCCAAGTGAAACTATGGAATGAGATAGGGAGCCTGAAACCCACAGCACCATTGGGGGTCTCCCCTCCAGCCACGTGTACTCCTCCTTTCTCCTATTACCACTTTGATTTCTAGGTCCCTAAGCCCTCAAAGCTGGCGCTGAGCCACCACCTCCATCAAGGTACCACCAAGTGGTTACCTTGGTAGACTGAGCTCAGGTTCCCCTCTGGGGTGCTGACTAAGCAGTTGGGGTGCCAAGGCAGGCCAGGCACACACCAAGATATGGCTATCTTCTTAGACAGGCCCAGGCTCTGGAGCTGACACCCTAGGCCTTGGCCGAGGCCTCGGCCGTGGCACTCTGGCGATTCCTGCCCTTGACACTTCTCAGGCCCCAGCTGACCTTGTCACTCCCCTTCCCAACTGTGCTGGCCTCTGGGCACTCAGTGCCTTCCCCTCCCCCCTGCCCTGCCAGCTCTGGACCTCACCTCATGCCCTCCATTACAGAACATTTCAAAGGAAGCTCCTGCAAGGCCCCACAACAACAGGGGTGGGACCTGCAGGACACAGGAAGCAGGGCTGCCTGGAGAGGGAACCTCTTGTGGGGAGACTTCAGCCTGGCCCCCACTGCCTCACACACAGCCCTGTGATCCAGGGTTAGGGATCCTGGCACCTGAGGGGAGGAACTTCCATTCGGGACACAGCAAGGACCTGTGAACTCAAACAGTGGCCACGTCTCAGTGCCCTTTGACTCCTCTTGCCTAGCCGTCAATAGACAGGGGAAGGACCCGGCCATGGTGGCACACGCCTTTAATCCCAGCGCTTGGGAGGTAGAGGCAGGTGAATCTCTGACTTCAAGGCCAACCTGGACTACAGTGTATAGTCGGAAGATTTCCTGTGTCCCGGCCTGCCAGCAGTCGGGACAAATCTCTCCCACTCGCATCCCCCAAGTAAACACACAGAGGCTTATGTTAATTATAACTGCATGGCCATGGCTCAAGCCTTTTGCTAGCTAGCTCTTATATCTTAAATTAGCCCATGACTATTAATCTATGTATTGCCTATCACCACATGTTCTGTGGCTTTACCTGCGTCCCATTACATGTTACTCCTTGGGCAGCTCCTAGCGTCCTGTCCCCTGTCCCATCGTGTCCCCCTCCTCCCTCCCCCCCCCCCCACCCTGCCCGTGTGCACACAGCTCGCCTTCTTCCTGTCTCTCTCTTTGAATTTCCCACCTGCCTCTAAGCTGTCTTGCCATAGGCCAAATGGCTTTATTTATCAACCAATCAAAGCAACACATATTCACAGCCCTACAGAAAGACATTCCCCCATCAACAGTGAGTGAGTTCCAGGTCAGCTCTACAAAGGGAAACCCTGTCTCAAAAAAAAAAAAAAAAAAAAAAAAAAAAAAAAAAAATAGACAGAGAAAGGCATCCACTTCCTGGTGGTAGTAGACCCTGGTCAAGGAGGGATGCACCTAGTGGGCTCCTGGGCCTTCCCTGTAGTCGAGGCTCACTCTGTAGGCTCTACACAGGTACAGCAGGTAGGGCCTCTAGGACACAATGGCATGGTTCAGACCTAGTGTCTTAGCTACTGTTCTATTGCTCTGAAGAGACACATTAACCAAGGCAATTCTTATGTAAAAAGAAAGCATTTAACTGGGCTCTTGCTTACGGTTTCAGAGGTTTAGCCCATTGTCATCAGGGCTCTACAGCAGTAGCTAAGAGCTTTACATCCTGATCCACAGGCATTAGGCAGAGAGAGAGAGACTGGGCCTGGTATGGATTTTTTGAAACCTCAAAGCCCACCTCCAGCAACAACCTCCTCCACGTGTCCTAATCCTTCCAAACAGTTCAACTGGGGACTAAGGATGCAAATATATGAGCCTATGGGGGCCATTCTCAATTCAATTCAGGCTCTCCCTGCACCAGCAAGGGGTAAGAGAGCCAGTCTGGTGTGCAGGAGGAGGCTCTGCCCCTGAGTTGGGACAGCAGACTATGAAGTGGGCACTTGCAGCTACAGCCAACAAGCTATGATTGTCTCATGCCGGGCCTCACCACCTACAACAAAGAATGGGGTTCCTGTGGTCACATGGCAGCTGCTCCTAGCTCAGGAGCTGAAGTTGTCAGGAGGCCACATGCCTGTGTAGAACCACTCTGTTTCCCCAATGAGGCTATGGTGCAGCTATCTCCTCCCCAATAAAGCAACCTCTCCTGGAGAGAGAATGGGGGCTTTGGAGGCCAAGGGAATCAAGGAAATTGAGATGGCCTGGGAAGATCCTAGCATGCTAAGGTTCACACGGCCCCTTCTCAGGATTATTAAAGCAGTGGTAATAAGTGGGGAGAGGCGGTTCGCTGGCCAGTCAAGAAGTTTACAAGTAGAGCATAGCACTCCAGGAATGTGGCCTTCCTGAGCTGTCGCTCATGTGGGGGTAGGCTTTTCACTAATGCAGCTGACTTTGAGTTGTTCATGCTCTGTAAGTGACCAAAAAAAAATGCACTAGTTCTCTAAGCTAGACCTAGATAGTGTCCTTTTTTTTTGGGGGGGGGGGTGTCTACCTGGGGTAACTAATTTGCTCATGTCTCCTAGACAAAAGTCACACAATACATGAAGAAGAGAAGCTGGGCTGAAAACCCAGCACTGTGGCCTGAGGCTGCCCTGTCCTCTAGCCATGCACCTGAAGTGA